ACCAGCCAGGCTGTCAGAAGGGATCACCCCTTGCAGCCAGCACAGCTGATGCATTGCTACCAGCTGGTTGATATACCTCTCCTGCTGTTTGGTAATGCTCACTCCACCAGACTCTTGGGCTGCTTCCAACACATGCCACTATTTATAATCTGGGCAGCAGCTACAAGGACTCTGCTCCGTTCATATTTGTCAAGTCTTATGGATTTAATTACCATATCAGAATCCAAATTTTGTGGTGAAAGTACTTCATTCTTACTCGACTGAATTCCCCCTTATTTCTGCTGTCCCAAGATAGTGCTGCTCACTACACACCCACAGTGCACATCACAGTGATACCTGAAGAAAAGAATTTATGCACTCTAGAAAAACTTTAGTTTTTTGAAACCGTGACTATGCTGTAGAAGAATTTTAAAATTAATTAATTTTATGCAATGAATGCAGTATTAAGCCCTCTAAATATTAATAAAGCAGAATTCTACACACATTTTGTTTCAGTAAATCTGAAATAAAGTTTAAACCATGTTATTCAGTGTTGGTACTGCATCCAACTTTGCAAACAATGAATAAACAATAATGATTCAAAAAGCAGAAACTTGATTTCAAGTGCCTTTGTTTCTTTGCTTCATGAAGGCATCTCTCAAAATACCTTTATTCTAAATGCAACTCATTAATGTGTACTTCCTCCTCCTTCTGTTTGCAAGCCTTCTCCAACTGGCTAAATATGGTGACTGGAGCTTTTCGGATTAATTTTCCTTAAGTGACCTACTTTGCAGAGAAAGATAATCGTGCATTTATAGCCTCTGGCACACTATTCAGGTCACAGATGGAGAGATACCAAAGCTATTCTTCAGTGATTTACTGAGCTTGTAACTAATCCCCAATGAGAAAGGAGATCGACCTGATGTTAATTGGTTTGAATGCCTAAAAGTATGGAATGCCTAAAAGTAGGTTTTCAGAGGGAGTAACAGTCAGGCTGAGTGATACCAGTCATCAATTTTTCTAGGACTGTTTTGTGGAAGTGGTTGAATTACTGAATGTCAAAGATATTAAATACCTGACTTTGAATCCTTTGCCTTGACGGAGGAGCACCATGTGGTGTTCTGACTGGACATGTCTGATGTTACATATGTACCAGATTCTGTGGCCAGCACCAAGGGTAAAGAGATTCAGGAGAGTTTTGACCTTTTGCTTGCTAACAAGTGCTTGTGATCCCGTGAACAGTTGTTAGGATCAGACCCAAACCTCTGCTGTGAAAGCATTTTTTTTAATTAGCATGACTGGTTGAGCCAACAGAACTGATATTTTGCTGTTATCCATTAGAGGCCCTTTCTCACTCTTGTATTTGACAGTAATGGGATGTATGCAAAATAGCTTTTCTTCTTGCTTTCAGATGGTCAGAAGTTTCACATAAAATGATCAGGTTTTAATCTCTGTTATTTTTAATAGTTTGGGAGAGTTTTTCATATTGAGAAACAGGCAACAAGCATGGTTCCAGATGGAGGATGTTTTGGGTTTTTTTCGAAGGACTATCTTGAAACTTTGTGTCAGGCAGTCAGTGATGTTAATTCTCGCAGGTTTGAAGCACTAAGCTGTCAGCAGAGGGATGGATGGCTTTGAGAAGAAAACAAAACATGTATGCAGGTTGAATTCTTGTGGCACAGGACTGCAAGTATGTATGGCTGCATGTCCCCAGGTGTGCACACACAGCTTTACACCACAGTGCAGAGTTGGAAGGTGTTCTGGTGGAAGTTGCACTGCACTTTGGATTACTGTGATCACTGAGCAAGTGTTGTATTTAAAGTGCTTTATAGAGCACGTATTCTCAGAACACATGAAATTGTTTTGAATCATGGAATGATTCAGATTTGGTTTAGATATTTACAATTATTAAGACAACCTGACAGGGCTGTGTGTGTATTTTCTATGACAGAATCTAATGCCATTGAGGGTAAAGTCAATTCCTTTTAGCAAAAAAAGCCTTTCAGACAGGAATTGAGTAAAAGGTTTTAGGGAGAAAGAGTATGTGCAGCCCTCCTGTATCTATTTCAAGAGACTGTAGTGCAGCTGTTCCACCATAAAAATTCTGGCTATGTGCTTTAGCAGTTGTTGGCAGCCCACTGAAGTTTCCACATGTGCCCATCAGCTTCTGAATCTGTGTTCCCTCTCACGGGTGTTAGCCTCCAAGATAGAATTCTTTTTGTGTCTGAATCATACATTTCTCAGTGTTTCCTCAGAAAGTGCTGGTAAATTTGAACCAATGTAGCTCTACAGATACAAATATCAACGAAGATACTCTCAATCTATCTTAAGAACAGCCTCCTGTATGTGTGCTTTTATCTGGACCTAAAATAATTAATCTAACTCCAGTTTTAAACAAAGTAATCCACAGAGCAAAATTTAATTTTCTGTTTCTCAAGAAGGTATTTGAGAAAAATCAGTCATAACTATGGGCTATTTTAATCACATTATGATTTTATGAAACAAAAAATTCACATCTTTGCTTCTGTGTTTCCTGGTATGATACCCACTAAGAAGAAACAGGGTAAGTCTAGATAGTTGGAAAGTCATTGTATATTATACAAACCTCGATAATTTAAGTAATGTGTTTCTATTTTATGGAGCTGTAGTAGACTCTCTAGAAGATAGCATAGCAATTATTTGTTGAAAAAAACCCAGTATATGCTACAGGTCAGTTGCACCTATATTACAGTAGGGCATGTTCCTGCCCATTATGTAGATCCCTTGGTGAAAGAAAAGTACAGTTTGGAAATAATACTGATGCATTCCTATTGAAAAATAACCAGCTCCAAAAAAACCTTACATTTTTTGAACCAGGGTAACCATAGCAGTAATGGAAAAGACATGGTTCATGCCGACATTCCATTATACAAGGAATAACTTAAGAGCTCCTGGCTGTTTTCTTGAGAGACACTGTAGTGAGGGCACCAGGTAAAGGTGACAGTGAAACACACCACAAATCACCCTCACATTATTACTAATCACTCCCTGAAAGTCTGTCTTCTGGGTTCTTTGTGGCTTAGAAGGATATCATTGTAGATATACACATTATTACATTTAAAAAAAAAAATTAACTTCCTTGCAATAATAAAGGATCATAGTTCTCAGCCTGCAACTGTCCGAAAGACAGCTGTGTTACATAAGTATAAAATTTTGTGTGCATGTTTCTTCTGTGGGCAAGATGAGTAGTTAGGCACATTTTCTAAGAATGTGTCAGTATCACACACAGTTTGCTAGTAGTAGTTGCTAGTAGTCCTACAGGACTACTAAATGGACCTATTCACTTGCATGAAACTACTGGAATGGATATTTTTTTGCCAGATCAGAACAATAAGGAGGAGTTATGAATATAATAACAAACTAGATATTTTTAGCATTTTTTAACAGAATTTGTTGATCTATTGGACTACTATAAGTGAAAATTAAATCTTGTTAGAGAAACAGAAGAGTAGACATCATTCCAGAAATTTGTAATTATCTTCTTGAATATGTCAGTGTTCCCTGAATGAAGTAGGATCATCATTATTTTAGTTTAGTCGTTTAAGATCTAAAATTTCCAGTGGTGAACTTCTGATTAGTTGTATAGATCAAAAAATGATAAAGCAAATTCAAAAATCCCTTATTCCTCTTCTGGAGTAACTTGTGTTCCCACTCAGGGGGATGAAGCAGTATATTTGGAAGGAAATGCTGGAGCACGGAAGACTCAGATATGATGTTTCAGTGAAACAGTACACATGATCTGAATTGTTAATGAACGTTCCTTGGTGTCTGGTTGATTTTGAACACCTTTATAGGTGTTTATAGGAGTCATAATGTATTTGAAATATGCTTCAGTGGGATAGACTTTGCATATGCAGGAAGTAGAAGAAACTAAGTGGAAAAAATGATGGCAATGTTTCATTGTACATGTGTAGAAAGTTCAAATCTATAAACTTGCATGTAAATTAACAGTAAATTATAATTAAATTAATCATATTAACATAAACATAATAAATAATTATAATAATTGATCATAATTCACCACTAACCTATATACAAAATCATTTTGGCCAGAGTTACGTATCTTTGGTTTTCAATTATGTCTTTAGTAGTAAGCTAATTAAGCAAAAGTAATTATTTTCTCCATGTGTTTTCCATGTCAGAATGCACCTCACATGCTGTTGTGAGCTATTTGCTTATTAATACATTCACCTGATATATCTGAGATATTTTTCCCTTGCATACTGAGTGTAAAGATAGGGTCTGTGGATGATGGCAAACTAATTACCTGGAAAATTAAAGCATTTGCTCAGAGAATGACTAAATTGTAAGCAAGGATTTTTCTCTATCAGCTACTTCAGTAAACCTCAACATCAGCTTCCACTTTAAAATAAAACAGTAATTTATCTATGCTACTTGATCTTTATTGTCTTTGCTGATATTACTGAGCAAAAACTTATTAATATTATTATAAAATTAAAAATCTTTGAGTTTGCAAGTTCAAATTAAATATGGTATTTAATAAAGTATATTTCAGGAATAGACGACTTGCATTAAGACAATCAAGCTCTGCTTACAAAGCACTATATTAGCTCTCTTTAATCAAGTCAGTGACAAATCCTTTTCTACGATACACTTTTTAAAATAGTAAATTAAAAAAGCACTTTCATTCAATATGCATATATATTAAAATAGTGGCTAATCATACATATATTCCAGAATTGCATGCTGTTGCTTTTGGGAAGCTGATGTTAATCTTTAACATTTTATTTAGAAAAATACCCTGTTGAACTGGGAGAATAGATGTTTTCTAATAATGCTATACCTATACTTTCTTAATTTATATTTTTGATGATTTGAGCATTTAGATTATCATTTGGTCATTTAGTCGTAGAATTTGTTGCATAATTCTATTTTTCCTGGGTATTAAAAATTTATAATAGATTTAAAAGAATAAAGGAAGAGATTTCAGGGTTCTGATCATTCTCATTCTGTCTGTGCAGTTCGACAATCAGCAAGCATTGGGAGGCAGAACTGGCCACACTCAAGGGTAATAATGCTAAGCTCACAGCAGCCCTGCTGGAGTCCACTGCCAATGTGAAACAATGGAAACAGCAACTTGCTGCTTATCAGGAGGAAGCAGAACGTCTTCATAAGCGGGTAAGTTGTGGCAAATGGCTGGGATCCTGCAGGTGAAAGTACTGATGACTCTATTCACTCATTTTCAAGTAAAACAAGTTTATTGTTGTGGCTTTAGGTTAATCTTTGAGATGGAAATTAATGATTTCTTTAAAGTATTTCCTCCAATAAAAAGTTAATTGGTTTGTAAAAGTTTTTTTCCTGCAGAGGTTATTGTTGTGAGAAGAATTACCTAACCTTATAATGTTTATCATCTTTCACTCTTCATTTGATGCCATCACATCTGTTTCATGATGTCCTCATAGCATTACTGTCTAGTCCCTCCTGAGTTTAGGCCCATAGAAACTCGACATCAAATCTGTAAGTTAAAGAAACATTATTGTAGTTTCCTCATATAAAAAAGATTAACAGCTTCCTCTCATCCTTGCACATGAGGAAAACTGGGCAACATAAACACAACTGAAAAACAAGATCATTATACGCAGTTAAAGATCTGCACCCATTTTCATGTAAGAGTGAACCAAAAGTTAGTTCACAGTGGGGGAAGGAAGGACGATGTTTGAGGAAGGAATAAATTATGAAAGATAAATCACGAAGGCCAAATTATGGAAACAAGTACTCAATATCTTAATTTCTATTATCTTCTGACATGTAACTCTCTATGTATTGTATAATCTATTGACCTTTATCCATATAAATTTCTAATCATAACATAGGAACACATTTCTATGCAAAATGAAGGCAAGATTCACATGTGTGGAGAAAAAATGTCTTTGATGAAGCTGTTTCACTTCTGTTAATGAAGAGTAACTTAAAAAAATATCAAGGAGATATACTTAACTTGCAGAGGTACTATTTACTAGGGCATGGAGTGATAGGTCAAGGGTAAATGGCTTTAAACTGAAAGTGGGTAGCTTTAGATTAGATGTTAGGAGGAAATTCTTTACTCTAAGCGTGGTAAAACACTGGCAGAGGTTGCCTAGAGAAGCTGTAGATGCCTCATCCCTGGCAGTGTTCAGTGGGGCTGAACATATCCAGATTGGATGGGGCTTTGAGCAACCTGGTCTAATGGAAGGTGTCCCTGGCCATGGCAGCGGGATTGGAACTAGGTGATCTTTCAGCTCGGGCCATACTGAGTCGATGATACTTAGTTAAGAAGAAAATGCAAAAAATCCCAAACTGAACCATTGCGCTTTTTTGCATGAAAACAGATTTCGTGAATATGCTGACAAAAAAAGGGAAAGTTAAGTAGTAGGCATATCAGACCTTTTAATTTGTTTTTATAGTCTGTATTGATTGGTAGGAAATAAGGTATGGCAATTACAGCCAGCCAAATCCTGCAAATTGCAAAGGCTTCTTTCAGACCTATGCTTGACCTGTCTGACTGAGGGCTGTTCAAGTAGTCCCAAGAATAAAGGTCATATTCATCTGAGGTGGGGGGGGAATTTGGTAGGCTACAACTAACCTGGAGATGTGGAAGAGAAACAAGAATTTAAGAAACCTGTGGAAATGGCAAGATGGGGATGTTCTATGACTAGACTGACTTGAAGACAACAATCCTGAAGTCTTAGCCAAATCACAGAATCATAGAATCATAGAATCAACTGGGTTGGAAAGGACCTCTGAGATCAAGTCCAACCCTCGATCCAACACCGCTGTGGTTACTAGACTATGGCACTAAGTGCCACATCCTGTCTCACCTTAAAAACCTCCAGGGACAGAGAATCCACCACTTCCCTGGGTAGCCCATTCCAATGATTTGATAGGGAAGAATGACCATTTCCAATGGACTGTAATTGTGTGTGCTATAGCTGACTGGACAAAGTGCATGAAATGTAATTAAGAGTGGTGCTTTCTGCAAAGTGCTTTCAGTCAAGAAATTGGCAGCTGCTGACAAAACTTCTTTGTTCAAAAATGTTCCCATCAGGCAGAAGCTTGTCATGTGTGTTTGTCACAGAGGGAGACTGTCACTTTATCTATTATCTCATTTAAGCTTCTCATTTGGAAGAGTCAGAGTTCTAACTTGTGCTCCAGGTTTGTGAATAGATGATAACAGTCACTGCCAATAAAATTATTTAAACTACAACCTCATAATAAAGTTTTACACTGCAAATGTTCAGGTGGATTTGACCACTAGATAGGCTTTAGAGTGAAGAACTCATCACTAACATGTGTACTTAATAAGGTAGCATTCTTTCTAATAAAATGCACTAACAGCTTGCATTGCAAAGCTGAGACAATACAGTCCTTATATAAGAAAGAAAAATAATGCACCACAGCAGCAGCTGCCTTGGGAGACTCAACCAGATAAGGCATTCCCCTTTTTAATGTTACTCTCACCCTTAGTCAAATCTTATTTAAAATCTGTTATTGGAAAATAAAAGTAATGAATATAGAACTGTTAGCATGTCATTTTGCTTTTGTATGATAGTACAGTTAACAGTAATAACAAGGTCTTGGAGGCTACATTCATTACTAGCTGATGATTTTTCATAACCTTTTCTTGGCAAATTTGCTTCAGTTGTTTTGTATTTCTGAGGAAACACAAAATCTTATAGCATGGGATCATCTACACTATGCTCTTTTTATCACTGTTTACATACCTTTATTAAGTGTTTTGTAATCTGTGACTTTAGGGCTTGTTGATATCTCACAGAGGATACAGGAATGGTCTGTGCCTATGTCTCTTCAGGAATGCCGGTAAATTACAACAGGATAGTTCATTGAGAGTACTGCCCTCTGTTGGAATTGCTTTTAGAAAAATGTAGACTTGGCTACCCAATAAACTGGACTCACTAGGCAAAAGAATGTATATTGTGTTAAAAAAAAATTCAGTCTAAAAATATTATCCATACAGTGCAGTGTGATACAAGAGCTCTTCTAATCCATGTGCTGGAGACTGAATTTTCAAATTAAATTAGTGCCTCACTTCAAAAAGAAATGGTAAGTCAGATGTTTCTTTCTTACATAGATCAAAAATGTGCTGTTGAAATGGCAGATCTGAAGACTGTTGATTACAGTACATGTGATAGGAAGCAGTGTTCAGTCACTGTCTTGTGCTATCTTTCTGTTCTGTTTATTTGTTCAGTATAAACACATAGCTGCAGTTGATCCAAAAAATATTCCTTGAACTGGAATTCATTTCACCTGAGGTTATGTATATTATAGATCAAGTCTCAGACAGTCATCTTTATTTCTTGTAATTCTTGTAGAGACAAAAGCGTGAAGAATAAGTGTTCCAGTCTTAAGAAAACTGGCTAAGGTGTTGAGCTGAGTTTGCTTCTCTAAAAGTGCTTGTCTTTATCCATAGAGTAGTCATCTGGATAGTCCTGTAGACATATTTCTAGTCAGAGGAAATGAACTCCATCCTTATTTCATAGAATCACAGAATAACTTAGCATGAAGGAGAGCTTTGTAGGTTATCTGGTCCAATTCTCCGGTGAAATCAGGGGCAGCTTTGAAGTTGTGAATCAAGTCTCAAAACGTGAGTTACCATAGTCAATCTGGGCAGCCCATTCCAGCTGACCACCCTTTATCACCAACTGACCACACTTGTCCAAATATTTTTCCTAATATCTGATTGAAATTTGCCATGCTACAACTCATATCTGTTGCCAGTTCAGAAGCAAAATGGGGTTTGATCAAAAAGGCACTTTGATGAGAAAAGTTGAATAGACCAGATTTTTAGAAATATGCATATAAAAATTGTTTTCAAGGAGAAAGAAAAATTTGGAAATTAGTTTGGATCAGTTGTAATGTAGTTGTTGTTTTATATGAAAAAGTTGGCTGTCACAGCATCTTACCCACTGGAAAATAAGAATTTGTATGTTATGTGTATGTATTGGAGGAATATGCTCACTTACAGGATCATAGTCTTGTATAACATAAACCAGACTGCAAAATCAAGAATGGTACTGCCAGTGTTAGCTAATACATTTAGTTCAATTTAATAATATATTAGGTGGTTTATATATCATGCAATTGTGGTATTCACTCATTACATACTTTAGGTTTATATACAAGTTTTGGTGCCTGAGTCATGTATCTGCAAGCTATAGCAAACTCTATCCTATGTCAAGTTAAGTGTGTGGGGTGAAGCAATGCATATTGATTAGTAAACTTTGCATTACTGTTTCCATCTTTAGTTTCTTGTTTATATAAATAGCCTTATTTACATAGTTTCCTCTTATATTAAAAAAAGAGTTATTGTGAATACTGTCTTACTAGTTTGCCTTCTTATGATACTTTCTCTGTAGTTTGAACTTCGTCGTGTTTTATTTATAATCATCCATTGATTCTGCATTATATCACATTAATTTATCTTCTATATTTTTAATTCACTATGGTAAACTTGCTCTTTTGCCTAGTGTAGTATTTGTTGTATAATTTGCTTTTTAAGTATTTCCAAGTTAATTTAAACCAATATTTTTTATTCTACAACTTTTTTCAAATTTGACTGGAATAGTTTTTTCCGTGTATCACATTGTTTGCATGTTTTAAAACACAGAAACAAAGCTAAGATACCCCTTTCTTTGATTTTTAAAATTAATTTCACCTATTATTTGCCATCTCTGATTTCGTTTAAGGTTTACTCATCTATCGGTTTAGTTTTTCACATTAACTTACATTTATTTGGTTTCTCTGAGGCCTTTATCTTCCTTCTTCCATTTCTTCTCTGCCTTAATAATGGCTTGAGCTGAGATGAAACAGAATACAGATTCAGTGTGGCTGAGCGAAACGTTCTCAATAAATTAAAGTTTTGTGCTTTCTCCTGATAAACTGTGAGCTTAATTCAGAAACACTGTACTTTGATATTTTGTCAGACATTATATTTTTGAGAAGCTTGCTAAATCAGTGCCTGGATTTTTCCTTCTCCAATACAAAGAGATAATTCAGGGAAGATAGGATGCCCAGTCAAGAGCTTAACTCGGAGCTCTCAGCCTTCTCTAATCTGCTCAGAAACAACAAAAATTTCCCTTAAACGGGGTTGGGGAGCACTCCTTCACACCTTGCATAGTTTT